CACCTGGGTATTGAGACTGAAAAGAGTCCTGCATTCATAAAGTGGATAGGGCTGCCTCACTTCATCTCCCTGTGACGTTATACAATATTGCACAGGAAGTTGAGATTTGCAATGTGACAACATACACAAGGAAGTGTCTTCTTAATCAACAATTTGTGTCAAAGCATCAACTTCGAGGCTGTGCATTTTTCTAAGCTGAACCAGAAATGTCTCAGCATGGAGGTTGTATGGTGAGGCCACCAAGTGGAAAAGTGTCTTTCGTTGTTGGCAGGGTTTGAACCTGCGCGGGGAGACCCCAATGGATTTCTAGTCCATCGCCTTAACCACTCAGCCAAAACAACCTACGAGACAGTATTAAACCGACTTTCACAAATTCTAAGAACTTTCTCAATTGCTGCAAGAGACAGTTACTGAGTGTACTTCTCTGTAACACAGCTGCTACATTTTGTTTGCTTTAGTTATACTTGGTGTATTCTTTCATTTGCTTGATGTATGTTCCGATTGCCAAGATGTTTTACTCAATTATCCTTTAACAGTGACCATAATACCTGATGGAGATGCAGGGGATTGAACCCCGGGCCTCATACATGCAAAGCACGCGCTCTACCACTGAGATACATCCCCCACATATCTTTACAAAGTCTTTCATTCTTCGAGATGCCTAAATAAAAGACAAAATATGACAAAAGACGATGGATGTAGATTCATCAATGCCCATGTATAGTAATGTGAAATGAAACTGTGAATTTTAGAAATTAGGCTTGGGAAAACTCCTCGCACCTCTATACAGCCAGTCAAAGTGGAAATGTTGGACATTGGCTGCCTTTGTGCTTACTATCTGACAACAAAACTTAGCAACAGTATACTCTCACTGGAAGAAGAGGACTCGGATGGTCGGAAATATAACAGGGGCCGACTGCTTGGAAGGCAGCTATGCTCACCCACCATTGGTGGGACAAAGGCTTTTACAGCAAAGTTGGCAATTCACCTATTGAGACTGAAAAGAGTCCTGCATTCATAAAGTGGATTGGGCTGCCTCACTTCATCTCCCTGTGACGTTACACAATATTGCACAGGAAGTTGAGATTTGCAATGTGACAACATACACAAGGAAGTGTCTTCTTAGTCAACAATTTGTGTCACAGCATCAACTTTGAGGCTGTGCCTTCTTCTAAGCTGAACCAGAAATGTCTCAGCATGGAGGTTGTATGGTGAGGCCACCAAGTGGAAAAGTGTCTTTCGTTGTTGGCAGGGTTTGAACCTGCGCTGGGAGACCCCAATGGATTTCTAGTCCATCGCCTTAACCACTCAGCCACAACAACCTACAAGACAGTATTAAACCGACTTTCACAAATTCTAAGAACTTTCTCAATGGCTGCAAAAGACAGTTACTGAGTGTACTTCTCTGTAACACAGCTGTTACATTTTGTTTGCTTTAGTTATACTTGGTGTATTCTTTCATTTGCTTGATGTATGTTCAGATTGCCAAGATGTTTTACTCAATTATCCTTTAACAGTGACCATAATACCTGATGGAGATGCGGGGGGATTGAACCCCGGGCCTCATACATGCAAAGCACGCACTCTACCACTGAGCTACATCCCCCACAAATCTTCACAAAGTCTTTCTTTCTTCGAGATGCCTAAATAAAAGACAAAATATGACAAAAGACGATGGATGTAGATTCATCAATGCCCGTGTGAAGTAATGTGAAATGCAACTGTGAATTTTAGAAATTAAGCTTGGGAAAACTCCTCGCACCTCTATACAGCCAGTCAAAGTGGAAATGTTGGACATTGGCTGCCTTTGTTCTTACTATCTGACTACAAAACTTAGCAACAGTATCCTCTCACTGGCAGAAGAGGACTCAGATGTTCGGAAATCTAACAGGGGCCGACTGCTTGGAAGGCAGCTATGCTCACCACTGTACCACCATTGGTGGGACAAAGGCTTTTACAGCAAAGTTGGAAATTCACCTGGGTATTGAGACTGAAAAGAGTCCTGCATTCATAAAGTG